TCTAGATCTTGGGGCTGCAATTAGAAGTAAAAAAGGGAAAGGTTTGTTCTATTTGAGATTATATTTTATCAAGGATAAGTGAAATACTTTGTACAATAAACTACTTATTTTTGTCAAATTGCGATCTAGATTGTTAAAGTAAAATGTTGTTTCGCTTTATGTGTTTTTAATTTTTTGGCCAAAATACAAAGCTATTTCATATGGATTAAATCTATCTTACTACTAACATGATGGAATCAGCCAAAGATTTTGAAAAGGCAATCCAAGAAGCCGTGTCTAAAGCTATTGCAAGCCAAGCGAAGAATCATAGCCATGCTGTGGAAAAAAGAATCTAGACGCACTTAAGATATTAACGACCCGTATAATGGAAATTGATACTAAAATAGAGAAGATGAGAGGTGATCAAGAGAAAATAGAGAAAAAAAATTGGATCATTTGATGGTTATTTTAACATCTCTGGAAAGAAAATAACAAGATCGTAAAGGAGTGCATAATGGAAATAGTTCGCTGTAATGAAAATAGTCCCCTATTCACAGTAACACTATCCTTGATTTGAATAGAATTAATGAGTAATAATTTTAATGTTACCTGTCCAAATCTGAAATGTTTAAGAATCGTTAATGACAATCACCCTATCTGTTGCAATTTATGCGATTTGTGGTTTCATTTCAAATGTTCCTCATTAACAAAGAATCAATTTCAATCATTTTTGTTGGATAAAAGTCTTTCATGGTTTTGTGCTTCTCGTTTAAAAAATTAACTCCCTTTCCAATCCACAGCAAATAATAGTTTGTTAAAATTGCTCTATGACTCAACAATATGGCCAGTCAAAAGCGGTAAAGCTTTTAATCCCCTTAATATTTAAGTCTTTGAAAAGAACTGCACTGTCTGCAACAAGAAGGTTTGTGACATTGTTGAAGCTATTCCTTGCCAAACTTGCAAATGTCTGATTCATCAAAGATGTTCCCGTCTCCAACCTTGGCAGTCGGCAAACTTTTCTAAAGTACTCAAATATTGGAGTTGTCCTTTATCTTCAACCCCTTTATCTACCCGAAGGGCAGAGCAGATCTTCCCCGGCAAGGTCTCAAATCGAAGCTAAATAATTGATTTGCTATCATAAAGGTATAACGTTTTTTTTCCTGCCTTGTTTCTCGAGATATTTGGCGTTTTCTGAGGCATCGTCTCGATTACCATTAGTGCTCTCCGTGGTCTTTGTCCCGCGTTTCTGAAGGTCCTTTCTCTCTCTTTTCTCTTGCTCTCTACAAAAGATTTCAAAACTTTTTCCTCCAGCAACCCTTCAATTTGAACGGAGGCTTTTCAAATTCGTTTCGCTTTCCACAAAGGATCCATTGGATTTCTCGTAGTTAGAGGAGAGGATAGCTAATAATAAATCTACGTGCACTGCTGCTGTGGCATTCCTTTTCGAACTTTAAGCGATCCTCGACGGTCGTGGTCTGTGCTATAGCTTGAGGCTTCAGTCATTAGTAGCTGCTCTCGATCTCAGGTGAGTCTCCTTGGCTTTTTTTATCAACTGGTTTTTTATTGATTGACGATTGAACACTGTTTCTTATTTCGTTTGCAAGAGCCATGTAATTCGTGCTTTTGACAATCTTCCTTTTCGTTTTAGTAGCTACGTACGTACGGTACACACGCTGCTGCCCGTTTTTTTGGTTCTGCGATGGCTGCTGGCTGTTCCCCTTCTTCGCTGGCATCAGAATCGATGGCAAAGGAATACAGGTAAGCGTTCTTGTTCTTACGTGTTTTCGATATTCCTTATTTCAAATGGTTTCGTGCTCATTTCGAAGAAATTTCACTAAAAACGGCCGCTAGACCCCCGCCGCGAACGAAAAAATTTTACTTCTTCTTGTGGTTTTGTGCTAAAAGGCAACTGGATTGGCTTTTTTGCAATCAACTGCTGTTTATTCTTGATGCAAGGAAATTTGATTTTCATAGGAAACCCGTTGTAATGCAAATTATGTAATGCCAGCCCCCAACTTTTTATGCCTAACGAGAATCCTTTGCAGCAACTTTTCCTAACCGCCTTCCTTCCTTTTTTGTAGATGAACGATCAGATTCGCTGACTTTTTGGTACAACAAGTGAGTAATTTTTCGATTAAAAGATTTTCCCACTGAGACAAATAGGATTTGCCTGCCTCTCAAGTTAGAATTATTTATAGCTTTGACAGCATTTTCGCAATTGTAAGTGAATCATTCTAGAAATCATTTCAAATGACTTTATGCTTATTTGGGCGAAATCACACTAAAAACCGGTTGCTAAAAGGAGTCGCTAGACCTGCCACGAACGTGTTTCTCTTAAATTTTTACCTCTTCGTAGTTTTGTCCTTAAAAGAAAATGGATTTGCTATATTGCTCGCTTAACAAGAACAATTTCAAATGATTTTATGCTTAATTTGATGAAATTACACTAAAAACCAGTCGCTAAAGGGGTGGCTAAGCTCTCGGGGCGAACGTTCTTTCTGAAATTTCACAAAGCATTATGCCCATTGATTTCCTTAGAACATGCTTTCATTAACCATGGAATAACATCTTCATTATTTTTTTGTTCTTCATCTAGACCAAAGAGCGTTTCAAGCAATAATTATGACGCAGACATGATTCTTGGCATTTATGCTGGAAATTTATGGCTGTTATGCTGGCGTTAAATTGAACAAAGAAGCAAGAAAAAACCATGACTGTGGAAAAATTTACTAAATCTATGAAGATTAGCTGTTGTCCATGAATTGTATTTTGTTAATTTGTTGTTTGAGTAAGAATCCTTTCTGATGCACGAACCCCATCTTTCTTTTTAGGCTCCCCCTTTCCTAGTGACAGTCACAAAAGTGCGAATTTAATTCCCAATGGAGTGCAAGCAATTTTGTTATCACGTGACCTCTCCTCATTTTGAAATTGAGGTTTATGGCACTCTTGTCTTTCCAAGGCTAATCTTAATATTCAACCGTACGGCCACTGGCAAGCCCGCTTAGCGGGCTTCGTAGGGGAGCTATAGCATAATAATAACAGTAAGTGAAGTTTACAAATTCTAAAACGTTACACATGTCCATGTCAAAATTCTTGCATTGATGTCAATGACTATGAACTACTGTGTAACAAACATGTTCTCTGCCACATAATTTTAGGGAGACCTCATTTACAACATATTAAACAAGAACTCAAAAGAATAAATACTCTGTCTAGAACACAATTTTTACGCTCTCATTTTACCATGTTTACCACAATCCATCATCTCCCAATTTCTCCTTTAAAAATCTTTCTTTACAAACGATAGATAATCATAACCAACAAATAAAGAACAAATCCTTGCAACACACATTAAACGCCCCTGGGAACATTCACACACAATACAACTATAGAACAGAACAAATGCACGATTATAACACTTGAACACCACTGAACAAACAATGATAACCATACTCAGTGGCGGCTGGTGGGACTTTTTGCTGGGGGGCAAAATGTCAGGTGTTGGATGTTGCCAAATACAAATTTAAAAGCCATGCTCCTGGTTCCCGGAAGATAAGTAACATGAGAAAAAGTCATTACTTTTGTTATGCAATGCTCAAAGATCTAAAAGTTAGTTAAAAATTTAAATCTAAATCTACCAAGAAGTATTTGATTTGCACAGAGACTTGTTATAAATGTGTTCAAAATTGCTTAGTTTTACATACTTTCCACCTTGGATGCCACAGTTTCAAAAAAAGAAATTATGTTATTCAAACAGCTTTGTAACTAAAATTTCTTTTTGTCATTTTTTAATACAATTTCCATAAAATGTTCTAAGAATTTTAATTGATGGCAATCATGGCACATTACTAAAGTCTACTTTGCTCATTTCATTTCTAAAACATCATAATTTTACTTCAATCAACTGTGATGCTTACCATTTAAAACTAACTGAGAAACTAGAAAGTTAAAATATCCAAAGTACCATTGTGAATGGTTAATATTTTGTGGCTCATTAGGGGCTAAAAACCAATTTCATGCAGGTTATTTCTTAATAAACCAAATTTGCAATTGTAAAGAAACATTATATAGACACTGGCATATGAATAATTAAATAAACTAATAGAAATACTGAGGACAAAAAACAGAAACTATCAACTTTAAGTTTAACAAGTTTGCAAAAGTTTGTCATTGATTATTTAAAAAGGAACTTGGCTCTTCTATTTTTCAGCTGGGCAAACATCTCAATGAAATTTTTGTTAAAGTCTGTTGAATCTCTGATAAGGCTCTTTTCCATGGAGAGCATGGCCAAAGCATTCAACCTTTCTTCAGACATTGTGTTTCTCAGGAAATTCTTTATTCTCTTAAGTGTTGAGAAACATCTCTCTGCTTCACAGGATGACATTGGAATTGTCATTATGATTTTAAGCAGTTGCACAGTTTCTGAAAATGTGTCTGCAAGGTTGCTTTCCATGAGATGATGGAGCAATGGAACAGCCCCACAGCATTGTCTAAATTCTGGTCTGCTATAGATGACAGAAAGTTCTGATTGTAGCTTGGTTCCATCAAAGAAAGGAAAGGATTTCACTGCATTTTCAACGACCTTGGTTGGGAAGGATTGCTCAAAATAAGAAAATGAACCACTTTCGAAAAGTGTGGCAGCAGTAAGATGTTCAGTGAATTTGAATCTTGAGCAGCAATGTGATATTATAACATCAGAGACTTCTATCAGTGTCACAGATAATTCTTCATCAGAGTAGGGGAATCTGGGCCTTTTTGGAAGAGGATCCACACTCTCAGCAGATGAGGTCATTGAACAGATATCTGGAACTTTATCTCTCACATTGTTGATAGCTTTGACAAAATTATGGATGCATGTCTGAATGAATAGAGAGTTTCCGATTCAAGACGACTCAAGTGAGGACGGCTCATGGAGGTCTGGGTACTAACTGAGTTGAGGCGCCCTTATTCGCGTGTTCAATTTAAGTTACGAATGCGGAAGACGACTCAGAATAGGCGCCAAAATTGATTTTATATCGAAAATGGAGGAGGAAATGTTAGCTCTCATGCACGATGACGGCGAGATCGATGATGACGAATTCCTTGTTTTTCATGAGGCAAATAGACACGGAAACCTGCATGTTGGACTTCCATATTGGAAATATGAACGTTTTAATCTGGATGGGATGCGAGAGGACGAATGTGAGGTCGAGTTTCGGTTTAAGAAACAAGACATAGCTAGGCTCGCTGCTGCATTACACCTTCCAGATGTTTTTAAGTGTTCAAATGGAGTGGTAGTGGGGCCAGTTGAAGCACTATGTGTTTGCCTGAAACGTTTTGCGTACCCATGCAGATATGCAGACCTGATACCAAGGTTTGGAAGATCCGTGCCTCAACTTTGCATGATAACTAACCTTGTTGTTAGTTTTTTATATGATTCATTTTCTGACCGGCTTCAAAACCTGAACCAGCCATGGCTTTCCCCACAACACCTGAAGATGTATGCACAGGCAATTCACAACAGAGGTGCTGCATTGGATAACTGCTGGGGATTCATTGATGGCACAGTAAGACCGATTTGTAGGCCCAAGGACAACCAGAGGGAAGTTTACAATGGACACAAACGGGTTCATGCCCTTAAGTTCCAGTCAGTTGTGACTCCCAATGGTCTCATTGCAAATCTTTTTGGTCCAGTTGAGGGAAGAAGACATGACAGTGGCATGTTAAATATGTCAGGCCTCTTGCATGATCTGGAACATCATTCATTTTCCCCAACTGGCCAAGCATTGTGTCTTTATGGTGACCCAGCTTATCCCCACAGAGTGCATCTCCAATGCTCATTTGCCAGAAGGGCTGACCTTACTCCAGAGGAAGAGGCATTTAACCAATCAATGAGTCAAGTTAGAATTTCTGTTGAGTGGGTATTTGGAGATATTGTGAATTACTTTAAATTCACAGATTTTAAAAAAGATCTTAAAATTGGTTTGAGCGCAGTTGGCAAGATCTACATGGTGTGTGCATTGCTACGCAATGGATTGACATGTTTATATGGCAACAATACCTCAAAATTTTTTGATGTCGATCCTCCAACTATCGAAGAGTATTTCCAGTAGGTTGTACCAATCAAAGATCTAAAAAACAGCTTTTTTAAAAGCTACCAAGAATTCTAAGTTTTCCTTTTCTTTCACACAGCACACGATTATCTGTTTTGTTTTTCTCTTTAAAGAAATTATGGAAAGGAAAATTTTTTGTAACTACCATAGGATGCATTCCTGCTGTAGAATATTTAAAAAGTATTGATCAAACCTTTTGGGTACCAAAGTATGTAAAAAAATCAAAAGCTTTAACAGATTCCAAAATTTTGATATTTTCAATATTTTTAACCATTAATACTTGACTTGATCGTTCCTAGGTTTCACTTAAAAATTTAAACATTAATCTCTTGACCACATGACAAAGAATTATAGAAATATTCACTTTCAAATCAAGTTCCTGGTTTTGTTTGCCTGTTTCTCAAACTTAAAGAATCTTTTGAAAAGACATGTAGCATAGTGTAAGTGAAAAGGCAAACAGGAAAATATATTGTTAATCACAGGCAAGAAAAAAATATTTTTAAGGCAAAAAGTACTTGCTCTTTAAACTGAAATTGAAGATTAACTTATTTGAAACAACCAATTAAATAAATAGCACTGAATAGAGATAATCAAAACTTTCATAAGTGATGTTACTGTACCATATTTATACAAATCTGTGTTTTAGAGGGGGGGGAGGGGTGGTGCTTATTTACAACTCTTTTGGATGGAGCACGAGAAGATACCCAAACATTTGTATTTGTACAGAGTTAAAATTTGAGATCAATTATCCAATATTTCTCTATGAAATGAGTTGGAAAAGAATTTAGAATAAAAAAATTCAACATAATTTTACCTTTTGACTTTTTTAATACAATTAAGCAAATATCAGCAAACAATATTACTTTTCAAATCTTTCTAATATTTTTAAAATAGTTAAATTTTGTTCCTCAATAATTGTCAATTTATTTTTTATGCATGCTATTTGAGCATTCATCATCTTTTGATGTTCCTTGTATACTTTAAACTTCTCTTCAAATTGTTCATGCTCCCTTGCCTTTAATTCTTGACTTTTCTCTTTCACCTCTATCTCCCTCACCCTCAACTCAAGTTCTCTCTTTCTCAACTCAGTTTCTTGGTCCAACTTTCTTTCCTTTATTTCAACTTTCTTTCTTTCCAAATTAACTTCACTCTCTCTCAGTTTCATGTTTGATTCACGTTTCTCTCTCAGGTACCCAACATACTCACTTGTCTCACCACCCTTTTTCCTCTTAGAACATTCTCTTGCCTTAGTTTCTGAGAGACTCTCCATAGCCCTTTTCCTCACAGCCTGTGCCATTTCCTTCTCTGCCCCTGTTGCCTGTCTCTTACCATCATCACACTTTGCTTGCTGCTGCTCTGCACTGTCTTTTCTTTCCAAAATATCCTCCATTGCTTCATCTAGCTCACTGGGTTCTGGTGCTACCCCACTAGCCCTCATTTCTTCGTTTATTCTCCTTCTAAACCCCCTTTCTAATTTTACAAATCTGTCCCTAACAGCTCTCTGATCAACATTGAACTTTGGCCTTTCTACTCCATTTAATGCATCTGCAATTTTGTCCCAGCATTTCCCCCTTTCCTTTGACCCATGCTTATTTTGATAAGGCTCCTCTGCCAGAATTTCACGGCAAAGTAGCACATCATGATCTTTAGTCCATGTCATTTTAGGCCTATTCAAAATAAGTTTATATCAACACATATACAGGAAAGTTTTGGCTGAGATCTTAAAGCCCATCCATTTCAGGAGAGACCAGGAAAAAATTTCAACTATTTCAGCAAGGTAAACTAACCACTTGTTCTACTCAAAACAACATAAAACAGATTTCAATTTAAATAAAGTTTATTCAAAATGTAAATTTAAAATGCATCAAGTACAAAAGCAAGTAATTCCAGCAAGTTAACTTTTTACTTTAAGAGTACTTCAAGAATACAAAGTTGGTGACCATTCAGATACTGATCATACACAGGCTTTCTCCTTGTATGTACTGATAACTTCAACAAAACATCAGGAAATCTGGCAGGCTTTTGACCATTATTTTGCTGTCTCTCAACGGTAAATGCCACTTGATTTCGGTTTCAGGATAAGTAAGTTTCAATGCATTTGTTTAATAATGGAATCAATACAAACATGAGTGTTCTTTTGTGTGAATCTTCACAATTGGCGGCCATTTTGAACGATTTAAATGTATCCTGGAATAAAAATGTAAAAACAACGTTACTATATGTCTATTGTGGCACTGGAAATTTAGATATTTACCAACAATTCAACTTGAAAAACATATAATGCTCAGTGCCATTAGGACAGGCAGAGCTGAACACTCCGTGGTGTGTAGAAAAGAAAGGTTCTGAGCAAAAAAACAATAAATACACTCCAATTTTCACACCTAATGCGATCATCAGGTAACTGTCAATGAATTATCTAAGTTTATAACGATGTATTACAAAAGTGTTGAAGAAAACTCACCTTTTATTTCTGCGTCGAGCTCGCAACGTAAAAATCGAAAATTTGAGTCGTTCTCAGGAACAAGACAGCTCAAGCAAAGTGGGATCCCCCTTGACCGCGCTAGTTTCTAGATCCCTGTGAGCCGTCTTCGCTTCCCGCGTCGTGAATCGGAAACTCTCTAATGTTGCAGAGATCTGGCGTTTTTGCAATTGAGCATAGAGAATATCTACATGTGGCATCAACTGCTGGAAGAACTCCAGATAAATTAAAAAGTTTCTGTCCTGAAGCCAATGAAGAAAGCCACTTGCCTCACGAACACTTACTTGGTCTCTTTTCCATGTGTTTATTATCATCTCAAAGCACTTTATCAGATCATCCTTGTGCTCAAACACAGTTGAGACAATTCTACTTTGAAAATTCCATCTGGTTTGCACAGAGCGAGGAATTCTTCTGGCCACACATTCATCCAGGCATGATACTCTCTTTGGAGAGCGAGAGAAAAAAACTGAAAATGCATTTAAATTTGCAAAGAATACTCTTACACTGGTGATATGTGAAACAGCCTGTTGTAGTACCAGGTTGAGTTGGTGGGCATAGCAATGAACATAGTGAGCATTGGGATATGCATCCTTTACTATGCTCTGAACACCTCTATGTTGGCCACTCATTACTGATGCACCATCATAGCATTGTGCAACAAGCTTCTGTTTGTCATGAGTCCCAGGTAGAATGTTATCCAAGCAACTTAGCACATTGGATGATATAGTTGCAGCATCACCCTGTGGCATGTCACAAAATGTCCAAAACCTCTCAACAATCTTCCCAGATGTTATGTATCTAAACACCACAACATTCTGTAAGTGATTTGATACATCAGTTGTGTCATCTGCAATCACTGCCAATCAGCTTTCTTTATCTCTTTCTGGATTTTACTTTGCATAATTTTGTACATGATCTTAAGCAATTCATTCTGGATGGTTTTAGAAGTACCTCTAAATATAGTTGCTGTCTCCAAGTGTTGACTCAAAACAGAATCAAGAGCTGCTGTGAAGTTTACCAAACCAAGGAATACACCTGGGTTGTCTGAACTAGATGTTTCATCGTGTCCTCTTAATGCTAGTTCAAAAGCACCACAGAACTTAATGCAGTCAATAATTCTTGACAGAATATGCCGATTTTTTTCAACTTCAAGATTATGTTGAAGAATGGATTCCCTGTACGCTTGACTAAGTTGCTCGGCAATGTTGGTTTGGCCAAAAAATGCCAGCTTCAAGCAATTCTCTACATGGCTACCACATCTAATGTGCCGTTTTACCTTGTCGGATAGATGTTTCCAGTCGTTTACACCAGTCTGTGTCCAAGCCTTTTCTCGTTGAGACTCCCCAAACAGGAGACATGGGAAACAGTAAACTTTACCAGATTGAGTACAACCAGTGAGCCAACTGTACTTCAAGTACCAGGCTTTGGTAAACCGATAGGACGACAAGCCTGACGTCGTCAACAAATCTGGCCTATCAGGGCCTAGCCGCTACACCTCTAATTTCTCTTCCAAAGTTAACTGGTGGAACGGACGCATTAGTAGATTTCGAACTCTATTCATAACTAACGAGTGTATTGAAGTCTTCACTAAGTAGAACAGAATATTTCATAAAAATGATACTGGGCCTTCGAAACACGACAGATCAAGATTTGTTTGTTTAATTGGATGTTGCCCTGCAACGACTTCCACGCTCTATCATTGTGGTTGTTGTTGAAACAGGGAGGGCAACATTTTTCTTGCCCAAATTTCTCATAATTCAGCCAATCAGCAAGCGTTTCTGGCAGCGCTGGAACTGTGATATTTGAAACTGCGCATGTCAGACAGCAAGTTTGAGGGGCAAAAAAAACCTTGCCCAATGGCATGACATCATCATATTGGAGCGAGGCTCACATCGTAGAAGCGACGTTTTACATCGGAAAACAAGAAAAGATATTCAACACGCAAACTCTGGCCTCGCTTTTCACATTTTTCTTGGGGGGGCATTGCCCAAAGTGCCCCATTGCACGAGCCGCCACTGACCATACTACATCAGTCGCTTTACATAACAAGATTACTCCAAATATATTGGAGCCACACCTGATGGAAAAGTCTTTGACCCAACATATTTATCAAGTTTTTGGCTACTTGAAATAAAGTGTCCCTACTCCCATGGAAACCACTCAATGGAGGAAGCTTGTGAAGACCCAACTTTTCTATGTTCAATTGTTGATGGAGTTGCTTGACTAAAGCATGATGACAGGCGTGGCTACTATGCTCAAGTTCAGGGGCAGCTTGCTCTAAATGGCTTAGAGTGGTGTGATTTTGTAGTTTATTTGTAAGGAGCAAATACAATTTCGAGCTTCGGGAACAACAAATTCTAACACTTTTTTGAACTTTTCGTTTGAAAGTTTTTGAAGCCGGTGTGATGGCTTAAATACTTCTCCTCCTTTTGTGCAGAGTGGCATGGTTCTCTCAACTGACTTACTGAGTCTATGGTTGCATGGCTGTGATATAGAAACTTGAATTGCTCTCGATAGCATATCAGATCTGCTAGTGGTATCAAATTGCCGCTCAAGGATGGCAAAGCATTTGCTTTCAGCCTCTTCGTTTTGCTAAGGGAGTTGATAAAATCTTCCTCAGCAAAATGTGCAGAGCAAACCTTCAGGTATTTCGCAGCACTGAAGTCTTTTTACTTATCTCTTTTGATGGCTGTAATCCATTTCTAACAGAGATCAAACAATGTAAATAATAATCACAATGAATATGATGGCGACAATAAAGGTGAGGAAAGATTTGGCTGATAATTCAAGAAAAAAATTGTCTTAAATTCTTACCTCTCTGAGCCTTTTGTTGCTCGGAAGGGAATGGAAAGTCAAAGTACTGTCTGTAGAATTGTTGAAGCATCCATAGGCAGCACAGTAATGAGCCATTTTTTAAGATAAACGGGGATAAACAGGTCGAGATTTGCCACTGCACGTAATCTGTCTGTGCAAGCTCGGGTGCGGTCTGTTATGTTGTTTACCCATTTCAAGTCACATGTCTTTGCACTCGCAACAAATCCAAGCAAGTCTATTAACAGCATTTGATTCAGTACTGTATCCTGCTCGATATGGGCCTGCGCTTCTTATGTTTCAGCATTGAAAACTTCCGTTATCAAATGGCCATGTATATTTGAAAATGGAGGACCCAATAAACTTCCTCCTTATCCTCTCGACTTCATCCCTTTAAATGCAGGATGGGTTTTTTCTTTCAAGATCTCGCAGGTAAACGTGCTGAAATGACATGTATCGAGCATAGTTCACATGATTAAAGCAAAACAGTGTTTCACCATGTCCCTTTATTGAACAATTCAAGAAACTCTGCATTCTCAACGACTTGTTCAATTAGGGAAGGACTTGGATCCATAGGATATGAGCAAGCCTTGCATACACTTGCTCGTCTGCATGAGCTTAAATATGTTCAATATCTAGCTCTTTCATTACACACAACAATTTATCAAGAAAGTTCTTGCACACAGGATATTCTGGAGGCTGTGGAATAACTGGAAAATACTCTACAAGAGACTTCTGAACTTCAACACCTGTCACAATTTTGTTAAAAGCTATCCAAGAGCCAATCATATTATCATCTTCTGTTCGTCCAGGAAGACCATTGAGTATCACCCATACAACATTGCGCTTCAGACAATATGTCAAAAGATTATCACATGTGTTATCAACAAGATCAATGAACAACTTTGAGGGAATTCTCTGCCCAATTTCAAAATTCCCAATTTCTTCAAGCTTCGATGTTGAGACTTGTCTTGTATGAAACAGAGGGACCTGGGTCTTCACCTGAAATAGAAAGTAAGAAATGATCAAAACTTTAATTGAAATGAGAAAAGATGACTGTGATGAAAAATACAGAACAGAAAATAAGCATTTGCAGGATAACCACTGACTGTTTACTGGCTGTGAAACGTTGCAGCATCATCCCAGTAAAAACTTGTTTCACAATCTTCTGTTTGAAGCATAGTAGCACTTCCCAGTCAGAGGCTAATGACCACACTTTTGTAGCCACTGGTTTTGATCTTGTCATAGCATAGCCATACTGATTTATTTTGTAATTTTTGTCAACTGTTGCATAAATCATGTTGTAAATCTCTTGCAGTGGACCTCCGTCAAACTGTTCAATCAGTTCATCAGGTTACATGGCCAAGTAC